AAACTTCATCTTCCCGATATATTTTTTGCCATTAGAAAATTATTAGTGTTTATATATAATACTGTACTAATATACCACCTCCATTATAGAACACACAGAAAAAGATTAAAAAGACAAAGTGACTGTTATCTCTAAAATGAATTATTATATAGTGTTAACTGTCATTAAAAAAACAGTAACTAAAACATTAGTAATTTTAACAGTTAATGAGACATGCTTCTTTTTTTTTAAATCTTGACTTAAGAGTCTGGTTCTAAATTCAGTTATTTAAATTCTTAACTTTAATGGTTGCCATAACTAGAAAAAGATACTTCATCATAACATTAGGTCCAAATACAGGAAGTGTACTACTTGCTTAGTTTACCAAATCATTATACTCATTTTGTAATGCCATCCAGCAATGATGTACATTTGCTGGTAAATTTCTAACTTCCCAAATGCTAACCAGATATTCTTAAAAACTAATGGTAAGGTGCTGCACATTTTAAAATGAGTTCAAAATCCATTGAAACTGTTTTAAGATGATTTTAAAACAGGTTATAAAATTCTGTGGAATTCTGTGCTTTGTGGCTATTAAAACAACGGATTACTTTGAAAACTAGTAATTAAAGAAAAATAGCCATTCATTCGGCCTTTTCAGTGGGAAATTGTTTCAGGGTAACCAAATAATCCTAACTGGATGAGGAAAAACTTCCATAAAAGAAAGTCAGTGAAGAATGATAGAAATAATCAGAAAACAGAAACCCTAATAAAAATATTAATTCAGGCAAGTATTACCAATTGTTTAAAACACTAGGTGAACGGTTGGGTGGAGAGCTGAACCTATGAATAGTACCAAAATAACACCACACAGGACACTTTAACTCGTAAGGAGAAAACTATACACTGAAGAGATTCAATGGTCAGCACCTAATCCAGTGGTCATTCTTAGCATCATTAATGATAATTTAGGTATTTTATGTTTTCTGATGTGATGCAACATGTACTATGAACGTGTTCCAGTCCTAAACGTTTAACAAGAATGCATCTAGCTCACAGATACAGCTTCCAGTTCACAGGAAATACTTAGATAAAAGATACCACAAAAGAAGAAGTCAGATAAATTTAAAAGGTGGGACATTTCTACAAGACAACAGGCCTGGTCTCTATAATAAATTAGTGTTATCAAAAAGGGACTGTGGGAAAAAAAAAGGGAGGGGGGCTATGTTAATTGAGAGAGATTAAGGGCCATAACAATCACATGCAATATGTATCCTGGATTAGATACTGGTTTGGACATTTTGAATCAACTGGGGAAATATGACTGTATCTGGATATAAAGATGATAAAACATGTACTAAAATGGAAGGGCTGATCACTGACAGAAAAAAGCAGGTGATAAAACTGTATTCATAAATATAAAACATATGGTATATGTATGTATGTATGAGTGTATACACACATGCGTGCACACACACACGTATATCTGTACATAAGGTCCCTGGGTGGCATAAGCCATTTGGACTCTACTAACCTAAAGGTTGGTGGCTCAAACACACCCATCAGCGCCACAAAAGAAAGGCCTAGCAATCTGCTTCTGTAAAGATTACAGCCAAGAAAACCCTATAGAGCAGTTCTACTCTAACACATGAGGTCGCCATGATTCAGAATCAACTTGATGGCAACGTGTTTGGTATATTCGTACATACGCACATATGTGTACATGTCCTGCTTCTGTAAATACAAAAGAGTGATTTTTTTTTAAAGGAAATATTAAGTTTCTCAAGGGTACAGATATGGGTTTTGCATATGACATCATTTTTTACAACAAAATGAAAAAAAAAGATTCAAACTTTTCTCTTTAAAATGTCTATCATGAATTTGTTTTGAAAAACACTTATTTTTCCACTTAAAATCTCACCTTTACTTTGAAATAACAAGTTAAATACTACCACCCCAAAATCTTCTAGGTGTCATACTACTGACAGCTACTGATTTATCAGAGAACAGGTCAGCAAACTTACCATTTCATAAAATGATTCGGTACACTTATCTTTTTGTAAAAGAAAAATTCAGTTATCTTTCATGTTCTTCAATCCCTACTCTAGTACAAAAAATGTCATAGTCTCACCATAGCTCACTATCAACGATGCTACCATTTCAGATAGTAAATCCATTTGCCATGCCACATAATGTCCAATATTTTGAAATATAGTGACAACAACAGAAAAGTCATTTCTTATACCAAACACGATACCTGACCATCTGACAAAAGGATTGAGGCAGGTCAATCCTTATTTTAAATATTTATAAAGTCTAACCCCTCCTGATTTTAACATAAAAAATAAATGGAAATACTAATTTTTATTCCCATGCCCCAAAGAATTATCTCACACCCCCTCCCTGCTCCATGTTAGCTCCTTATGCGTATACAAAGATGAACAAAACATGAATTCTGTCAAAGCTCTATAGTTTAGAAGGACAAAGATAAACATTTGGAACACCAGCCCATTTGGAACACTTCCTTTCTGATGATTCTTCCTCTGGATTTTTGTTTTATTTTGTTTTAACATTACCACGCCACCCTTCAAGTCAATCACTAAAAAGCCTTACTATCTCAAAAATTCCTCACCAACTCCAGAAAAGATATCAGAGCTGCAGATCAATTTACAAGGAATTCTCAACCATCTTTACAAATCTAAGATGATTTAATAGACTTCAAACAAATCAAAGCTTCGCTTACTTAGGGGAAGCAAATCTTTGTTTGGTTTTTTTGAGGTATCGGTGTTACACCTTGACACTCCTTTACTACTATTAATAAATCCCTGTTTCTTGGAAGTTTTTCTCCTGCTTCCCCATCTAGCATCATTACAGCTCCAAGCTCCTACTTTAGCCAGCCAGTCATGGCTACAAAGAGTTCTGTTATAGCCAAGAATTGTAATCTTCCTGCCAAGCTGGCTTTTAAGTGACCAGAGGACTGAACCCAGGTGAACGTTCAAATTAGCTAGCTGGCACTTGCCTAACCAATCAAATCAGTGCAAACAGGTGTAAACCGTGGAAAGTGGGGGGAAAGTTCTAAACATGAAAGCAAAAAAAAAAATTAATGGATTTAACTACAGAAAAATAAACTTCTGTAGACCAAAATACAACCATAAATAAAGTCAAAAGACCAAGATCAAACCGGGAATAAATATGCCAACAATTTTTCAATAGATATAGCAAGGGGTTATTGTTTTATTAGTAGTTAATTTTTTTTTTAAAGAAAGATTAATTTATAAAATTTTCAAGTGTTTTTTGTTTTTGAGCAGATCCTGAGTTCCCACCGTGCCACAGCCACCTTCTAAGGTTTTGTTCACACTTAAGTCATCGTGTCTGACACCTCAAGACCCTACCATCTTGGTCACACACAGCTCATCATACCACACACAAATGACTGATCAAAAAGCAGCTCAGGCAGAGCTGGTCTGCTTTGTGAGTTCTGCTCAGGAGCACTTTCTCCTAGATGGAACTGTTACAGCCACCCAGATTTTCTCTGGGGCAGTGGAAAGGCAAGATAAACAGAGAAAGATTGCAACTTTCTGTCACGCCAAAAGCCGTTTCTCCAGCTGTAATGAGGGTTCCCTTTAAAACTTAATGGACCCCAAGAATTCTAGCTGTGTCCCTTTTTCTGTAAAGCCGTCATGACTTACTCTAATCCATGGAGTTCCTCTCCCCAGTGACTGGGGAAGTAATGGGACTGGATGCCCAGTTACAGTGGCCACCTCCCCACATCCTCTATTTCTTTATCGAGACCCTGAACAGGCCCCTTGATTTGGTTTTTGCTTTGTTTTTTTTAGTGAAACACCAGAAGAGATAAAAGCAAGCAAACAATCAAAATCTGGGTAAACATAAGATATCAACTTTTAATGGTCATAATCTAAAATCTGTTTCATACTTTTAGGGATGATAATAAAACTTTACGTTATTCCTGAACCATTTCTCTCAACTACTTTTGTGAGCACAAACAGGAAAATAAAACAAAGGAAAACATCTTAATCACTGTTGTTAATGACATACCCTAGGGAAAAAAATGATTCAATTTTGAGGTGCAATTTCACCAACTTTTGATATAATCTATGTACATTCCAGATGATCAAACTATACACCACAAAATAATTTTAAAAGGGGAGAGGGCATGACAGAAGCAGGTAGCAAGTTGGGGAAAGACTTTATTCAAAAACTCTAAAAACAATCCTCTTTCTATCTAGGTGAGTAACTATTGTGTACGTGATGGGGTGGGGATGGGAGAAACATCCACTAGCTATTCTCCACTAAATTTAGTAGCTAGCTTCCTCACCACCAAAAACACTGGCATCCCATCCTGGAGGAGCTCTTTGCTATATTAGCTTACTCAGGAAAAACTGATGAATCCACTAGGTACTAGACAAAATTTCACTCTTTAAAAAACCAAAGATCTTCCATTATATTTGCAAATAAATGAAAGTCATAACCCTCATGTAAATACTGGCTATGCCAAAGCATACTTTCAATGATCCTAACAGAGCACATAATGGCATAATTGTACATAGTATGTGGCCCATTTTCCTACAACACTGACAAGTGTCCTCCTGCTAGGTGTTTCAGATGAAGAGATGCCCTTAGAACCACGCTTCAGTTAGGAAAAAATAGCCTGTATTCAAGGTATAAAGCACTCTCAAGTCATGTGATACACTGTGATATTTTCTATTCTTTTTTTTGTTTTAAATCCATATTCACCTTGATCCCATTCAAATGATTTCGCAACTCACTAAATGGATCATGAATCAATAAAACACCACTTGGAAGGCATTATTTTCTAACCTTAAGACTACAACAGAAACTTTTTCACAGTAGTTGCTCAATTTTTAAAAAGTTAAACATGTTCTTCTGGAAAGAAATCAAGACATTATCTTAGAAAAAGTAATTTCAAAATTCCAGTCACAAATGTAAAGTACCACTGTTATGCACATTTTTACTAATATGTTTGGAAAGTAAGTACTTACCATATAACACCCCACAAGGAAAGCAGCATTTGCTTGTTTTCGCTGATCAGAGCCAGTAAAATGTATAATTTTCTTCCTAATCATTGTAATGGACTGAATAAAAATGAATAGTTGTTAGTATTTTCTTTTTAATTTCAAGTTTTTAAAATTTTTATTCTCTGATTTTTAAGATAAATTCCAAATATCACAATGCATAAGCATTCATATTAGCAAGAACTTTAAAAAGATTAACTTTGATCCTAAAGACTGTGATGTAAACTATTGTGACAGGAAAAAAAATTGCTTCACTAAGTAAGTGCTATATATTCTTACAATTCTGGAAATGTTCAGTTAAGCATAATACCATGTACCTTCCTATAAAAGACATATTCTGCAATTAGAATGAATGTACTATTAAAGAGAAGGGATCATATGAACAAATACATGCTTAAAGCATATACTACTTCTGAAAGAACACACAAAAAGCTAAAAAAAGTGGTAGGAGAGATCTTTTCTTTCCTTTTACCACTGTTTTATTTTTTTTTTTAAATCTATTCCAAAAACGTTTAAATTAAAAATAAAATTACACCCACTGAGATGGCTATAAAAGCAGAAAATAACAAGCACTGGAGAGCATGTAGAGAAACTCGAATCCTCATACTGCTGGCAGGAATGTAAAATGGAGCGACTGCTTTGGAATAAAGTTAGAGGTTCCTCAAAAAGTTAAACATAGAATTATCATATGATGTAGCAATTCCACTCCTAGTTATATACCCAAAAGAACTGAAAACCAGTATTCAAACAAAAACTCGTACATGAATGCACACAGCAGCGCTATTCACAACAGTCAAAAGATGAAAATAACCCAAATGTTCATAAACTCAAAAATGGATAAACAAATTTTGGTATATCAGCCATAAAAAGGAATGAAGTACAGATAAATAGTACAATGTGGATGATCATCGAAAACATTATTGATAAATGAAAGAAGCCAGACACAAAAGGCCACCTGTTGTCTGATTCCATTTATATGAAACAGCCAGAACAGGCAAATTCACAGAGACAAAAAGCAGATTTGTGGTTGCCAGGGGCTGCAGAGAAAGAGGAGTGACTGCTTAATGGGTACCAGGTTTCCTTTTGAGGTGATAAAAATGTTTTGGAACTAGATAAAAGTGACAGTTACACAACACTGTGAATGTATTAATGGCACTGAAGTGTACACTTTAAGGGGGTTAATTCTATGTTATGTTAATTTTACTACAAATAAATGGATAAACAAGCAAATAAGAACAGGCAAAAATGATCTATGTTGTTAGAAGTCAGGATAGTAAATAACCTTGAGGGACAGGTACAGAGATAGTAACTGAAAGAGGACATAAGTAGGGCTCTTCTGGGGAGCTACTAATATACCCATGTATATGCAGTTTGTGAAAATTCACTGAGCTGTATATAAGGATCTGTACACATTTCTACAGGTATATTATACCTCAAGTTAAAAATAAAAAGGATATGGAATTTAAAAATAAAAGGAATATATGATTAATTAGCTTAAAAATAAAAGGAATATATGATTAGTTAGTTAACTAGTAGCAATGGATTCAGGCAAGGTAAAGACCAGGATACACTCAGTTCAGTAAGAATATAGGTATTCCTTGCCGTCTGTGAGTCAGGTCGCAGTGTTTCACTGATGAACGTGTACATACTTACCTTTGGTTGTTTACAGAGAGTAAGAGAGCCAAGTTAATTAAAGACAAACAAACAGCCATCCAGCAACACAAGCACAAGCTTCATTCAAACTCTAGATACACTTCTGTCACTGTTAGTTGAATAGACAGTAATTTTTCAATCAGGTTGGATGGTCAATAACCACACTGCAAGCTGTTCTAGTAAATGGAAACAACAAAAAGGACCTATACATTCTTCGTTGACCCAAAGGATAAAAGATCATAAATAAATGACTTCAAAAAAAAATCTTTCAAAATTAAAGGAACAAAATGGGATGGAGTTATTTTTAGCTTCCTAGCCTAGTATATAACAAAAGACCTGTCATGGGCAATTGGAAAAAAGGAGGAGGGAAAACACAAATAACACAAGGCCATAAAATGCTTATATTACTATTTACAAGAAAAGTAACGATTAGAAAGAAGTACAAATCTGTAATGAATACAAATATAGTACAAAAATCAACTGAATAAAGTGAAAAAACCAGCTAATGTAAACAGTGGCAACAGGATAGTAGTTAGCTTTGAGAAGAGACAAGACAGTATTTAGAAAGGGGTGTGAGAGGAGCTTCTGAGGTGCTACCAATATTCTATTTCTTGTCTTGTGTGATCGTACAAATGTGTAACCTGTAAAAAAAAACCTGTTGCCACTGGGTTAATTTTGACCCATAGCGACCCTAGAGAACAGAGTAGAACTGTCCCCATAGAGTTTCCAAGGAGTGGCTGGTGGATTTGAACTGCTGACCTTTGGGTTAGCAGTCATGTCACTTAGCCACTGCGCCATCAGGGCTCGGATAAACCACTGTGAGCTGTAGATTTTGGGAGAAGGCACTTTTCTGTGTATGTGTGATATTTCGTAATAAAAAGGTTTTCTTTGGTTTAAAAAATATTGATTGAATAAAGTTTTTTTCAAAAAGTACCTGCTCCCAAATTCAGTATTTTTTACTTGAGAATTCACAGTGATTAATCTGGAACTGCTAATAGTACATAACTACTTCATATTGGGCATGACCAACAATTTAAAATTTTTTCAAATGAATGGAGTCTAAGTTCAAACCAACAGAAACATACTTTTGCAACTCTCAGGGATTCAGCCTTAAAGACATGTGGTTTGCCCTTGCTTCTCCTGCTCCTTAATAATATGGGTAAAGGGTCGTGGTAATGAGTCACAACTAGCTTAGTATCATGGGAGTTTCAAGACAGATTGAGACAAAGTAAGATGAGCTAATTTCTCCTATTACTTTGCTAGCACTCTTTATCAAAGCGAAGGCAGGAAGAACATGACCAAATCAAAGGAAGAGTTTCTCTAGTTAGGCTTCAGTTCCATTAGGTAGACAATAAAAGGTTTGCTTCATTATCCAATTTCCACTTTGGCTTTTCGAGTATTTGAGCATCACCAACCCAAATAACCCAAACTTAACCTGTCCAATCAAAACTCTGAGGAAACATGTATATACACTATGACTCTATTAAAAAAAAAAAAAAAAAAAAAAAAACCTACACGTATGTCCCAAACACCGCCGCACTGAAAAACATGACATTTCCTTTGTCCTGTTTTCCATATTTTTCTCCCCAAGACCAGGCTAACAATGATTACTTAAGTCAAATCTTAAGTAAAAAAGAATTTACCTTTAATTTCTTATTTATCTTGCAACAATATCTGTAAACCATTGCCAGATTGAGTGGTCCAAAATCTGCATAGAAGCTTTAAAAATGAAAAAACAAAAATGCATATGTTTAGTCTAGATGTTCTAAATGTGAATACCTTTTCGGGTGGGGGGGTACAGATCAAATTAAGACAAGAAAGCACACACCAAATTGTTATCGGTCATAAAATTTAAAGGTATTGCCTTACTAATGGAAAATTTAAAGGTATTGCCTTACTAATTGCCTGTAAAAACTGCAACAAATTAAGTCCTACGACATCTAAATCTAACCTCAAATAACATATGAAAATACCTTCTAAATAAAAAAGCTGTTTTTCCACATATTTTTCCACTGTAATAAACACAGTATCTTACTTTAGTATACTAGTTTATATCTCATTTATAGTGTAAACCATTAGAATTTCAAACGTAAGTGTTCAAATTTAGGGAGGTTCTTTACTTTCAATTTTTTCCCCTAAGGATTTATTTTATTACCAGGAATTTTAAAAAAAGAGTAACCTGGAATTTTCAATCAACAGATTTGTAATTTTCCAAGGCTACCTTATTTATAAGCATACCTCTAGAGTCTTCAAAGTAAAAAGATTACTCACAATCTTTAGAAAAGCAAGTTAATACTTACTTCTCATATTCAAGTTCATTATCTATGCAGAAATAATGTAGATTTGATGCACTCTTTGGTCTGCTGTAGAGAATGGCAAAACAAAGGCGATCTGAAATGGAAAAATTGTAATGTTCCTTCCTTCACATTCTTAAAAAACATTTCATATATCAAGATGCAACTCTTTTCACATGACTTCAAATTTTTATTTTTTCCATGCATGTATCAGATGGAAGGGGGGGCCAATAGGTAATTTCAAAATATTCTGGCTATTTTGGTGGGTAATGATAGATAAGAAAAAAAAATGTTTTGAAGAAGAAATTTTAAATTATTCCAGTTTTAACAATGACTTCTCAAATAACCATATGGTTTGATTTCTGGAGGAATCTCTCATTATAAAACTTTAGTTGACCTGGATGAAGACATTTCAGCAAATGAAGCAGACATCAGATGGCTAGTCATCAGTCTTACATTAAGCTTATGATTTTTGCTATGTTTTCAACGCATCCTAAAAAGTCCTTTCTGTAACTTTTTTTTTTAAGTTAAAGAAAATGACCTTCAAATTGCAAATTGCTTCAAAATTAACATTTACAGAACACTGACAACAAACCATATGTTTAAACTGTTCTTAGGGATCACTACTTTTTTGTGATTTGTAATCACTACTTTTGTGTTTTTACAATTAGATTACCATTAAAACAAGCAATGAGAGGTTTCTACATGATGAGGTTGAGATGATCTTTGTGTTCATAAATGCAGTTTGCCTACTAGGAGGTTATAACAATTAGCAAGAATGGTAACTGGGCAGTAATGCTCAGAGGCTCCACCCTTCTTCCCCAAAAAGAGTTGCCAAAAAAATCTTGGCAAAATAAAGTCATCTGGAATAGTTAGTAATAGTAATATTAGCAGGACTAGTATAAAACCTTACCCTTGAATTTGCCTCAAAAATGTAAAATCAAGTACACCCATTATATATACGTGAGTGTGTATATATATATATATATATATATATATATACATATACACTTTTACTAGAGGAAGAAGAAACAAAGGACACCAGCTGGCATCCTTTCGCCACATGGTAATTTAAAAAAATTTTTGTCTGCCACTCAAGTCACGCGGTATTTATTTCCCTGTAAACTCAACTAAAATTTCTGCAACCACAAACACTCAAACGGATGACGGGGCTTATTTCTTTCCTACCACAAATGACCCTTTATCCTGTGTACCGTGGCCGAGGTTGTTTGCTCCTGAGTGGAGAAGCTCAACTTACCTACCAGTTTGTGAGCGTTAAGCACGCAAGTGTCACAACCACATATACATGCGTGTATCCATCCCAAAGCAAGACCACACCGCCTGGGGATCAGAAGTCCCAGGAGGCCACCCACGCCCATGAGACGGCGTCCGTCCTGCTGCGATGTTAAAAGCACCTCTTGGCCGGCACCTCGGGGCTTCCCCGGCCCCAGTGGGCCACGCCCTTTCAATACTGGGTGCCCGGGCGACGCTCTGGATCGGGAAGCCCTGCCCCCTCCTGCACTCACTCACCTTTGATCACCTCTGCTACCAAACGGGTCCCTGAGCCCTCCCGGCTCATGACTCCAAAGCATCTGGAAAGCGGAGGCGAAGGAAAAGGACAGGACCGGGTGGGCCAGGAGCAACCAGCTGCCAGGAGAGGAGAGGCCGCGGCCACACCTCCGAAGTTGAAAAGACAAAAAGTTTAAAGGACCGCGCCCAACACAAACTGCATGCCACCGACTCTGCCAAGGAACGACAAACCAGGCGAGCCAACCCCGGAAGTTCAAAACTTCTGAAAACAGCCCCAAAGCGGGCGACAAGTGAGCAAAGGAGAGGAAACCCCCGAAGCCCTCCGAGCCTTCGCCTACGCGTTGGGGACGCAGCGGGGCCGCCTGCGGGTCCAGGGTTCCTTCATTGACAAAATTCTGAACTCAAAGTCGGTACGTGCGGCCAAAGTGTCACAGAAGCAACCGGGGGCCTTTTAAAAGAAAGCGTCTCAGAAAGCTCTTTACGATAAAAAGGACTTCTCGGAAGAGAAGGGTTGGACGCAGAGCCCCGAGGTGGACCAGACTCAAGAGGGCCGGGCGGCGCCGGCCCGGCCCGGGGACTGGGCCCCTCCCTCAGCCGCCCTCCGGCCACCCTCGGATTTGCCGCCACCAGGGGACGCTGCAGCCGCGGCCGCCGCGCGCTGAGCCCTGTCACGCCTGCCCGCGGCCCAGTGGGATGGGGCTTCTGCACCCCGCGGTCCGCGGTCTGCGCGAGGCCATGGCTCAATCTCACGCGCGGACGCGGGGCCAAGGCGCCGCAAGGCCTCATGGGCCCGTGCAACCCGCGCGTGTCGTCGGGGAAGCGGGCCACCAGCGCCCGCGCGCCGACGTCCATCTCCACGTGTGGACCCGCCGCCCGCTGTACAGAACCTGGTCTGGCGGGGGAACGCCCTCAGGGAAGACTGGCTGACTGTCGAGATTGCTGGGCGTGCTGGCGTCTGTTCTTTAGAACCGACATCATCAAAATTGTTTAAGATTTCAAGGTAAGCCTAAAACTCGGATCATTCATTCCTTTAAAGGTTTGGCATTTCTCCTCAGAAAAGTTTTTTTTTAAATTCTGACAATATTAAGTAACCACTTAAAATATTTTTAAGCCAATATTCATGTTTATAATCTAAAGTGAAAAATATTTAAGATACAGTATGATCTTAATTTTGTTATATACAATCTGGTGCTGGGATTGTGGTTAATTTTCATTCCTTCCTGTATTTTTTCAAGTTTTCTATGGGAAGGTGTTACTTTAAAAATCCATGAAAAAAATTTCAACGACCCTCCCTTCAAACAGAAAAGCAATACAGTAACAACTCTTTCCCAAGAATTATACTTTATTTATAATCTCAGTATCACAAGATATACATTTTTGCCTCAAAAGTAAACCTGCATACTTCCTAACCTTATTTTAAAATTACAGATGGATCAGAGTTAAATGTAAAAAACAAAACCAGGAATTGTTTTTTATACTCTCCAACTCCAACTTTTTCTAAATAATACAAAATCTAAAAGCCATAAAAAATTGACTAATTGATCCATACACATTTTTAAAAGGTCTTCAGGCAATAAACACATAAAGTCAAGAGACAAACTGGAAAATATTTTAAATTCAGCTCAGGATGCCCAACTTCAGTTTTATGTTATTGCAAAATAACCAAAGGGCAAATTTAAACTGTGAGGTACCATTTTTTCCTCATACTGGCAAAAATTGAAAGGAATATGATCAGATACTGTGTTGGAGAAGTTGTGGGAAAACAGGCACACTCACATAGTACCTGGGGGTGGGAACAAACATAAATTGGGACAGCCTCTATGAAGGGCAACAAAGAACAATTTGGCACAAATTTTCATGACTGAAAACTGGAAAGATTGCTAAGACTATTAAGTGATAAAAGCAAAGTACTTAACAGTGTATATGTATAATGGGCTACCATTTATAGGTGTGCTAAAGCGTACATACACATGTATATGATTGTATATGTAAACCTCCCATAGTAGATCTCTGGAAGGACATACAACAAAACTGGTAATATCAATTCCTTTATAGGAGGAAACTGCGTGTATGAAAATAGGGAAGGGTAAGAGATTTATTATATCTTCATGCTTTTTTATAACTTTTGAATTTTGTACCATATATTACCTATTCAAAAGTAGGAAGTTTTTAAAAAGTAAACTTGCAGGCAGGCAATGTTTTTCCAAAGCTGACTCTTCATCAAAATAGGAAGTATACAGTGAGCACAGTGTAAGGCAACCTTACACATTTAAACAAGAGAACTGGCTAGTAACTTCTTTTGTTCTCTACCCTTCTCCTGAAATACAATTTCTTTTAACAAACCCAATCAAAACTGGAAGTAGCTAGATGGAAGTGGGAAGGGATTTTCCCTCCAAGTCCAAACCTGAAATTAAATTCCCTAGGCAATATTTTATACATTATAGGGGAGAAAAAAAATCACTGATTTTTGGTGTTGAACTATCTCTGCATAATACATTATCAATATTCTATTGTTAGAGTGATATTAAACCACTACAGAGGCTGGAATGCTGGGGGAGGGTCATTTATTAGGAAAGTGTTATTAGAAACAGGGCTTTTTACCAGTTTTCCTTAAAGCTCCATGATTAAACTTATAATCAATGTATTATAAATGCCTTTAATATTTTTTGGTATCAAAAACAAAAAACTGAAATATCAAAGTAATAAACCATCTTGCCTATATCCCTGTCATAACACCATCACCCCTGCTTCTTTGACTGATACAGAAAAATAGATTTCACATTGTAAAATTTCACAATTTTAAAATGTTGACAAAAATATTTAAAATCCATCCTTGGGCCAGATTTTCAGCAGGTCTGATTTAGATTTTGGACCTCCAGTTTGCTACCTCTCCCCTTAGTAGATACTTTTAAACAAACAAACAAAAAATTTCCTGCATAACAACTGTAGATACTTGGGGATAATCAATCATAAAACAGAGGGAAGTATATTCTAAAACAGTTGTAGGAATCAAGTGGGAATTATAATACAGTGTCTACTTAATGGAAAAGATCAAAAGAACTCCATTTGGACCTATAGACACATTGGGCTACTGCTTCTTTTTCCCCCTTGAACTGGGCTAACTTCACAGTTCCTGGCAGAGCAACTGGAGACATCCAGGGCTTTCTTACAGGGTGGGGAAGTTCAGCCTTGGTGAGCTCACCTTAAGACAAGCAGAAAGGAGAACCCATGTTACTAGGGAGCCAGAAAGAATAGGCAAAAGCAGAGGCTCCATATGAATATTGATTGTCTCACAGGAAGAGGACCAAAATATTTAAAGGCTATGAGCAGTCAATTCAGAAAAGAAATATAGATGGCCAACAGCATATGAAAAGTAACCTTACCAATGGCTCAACATAAAAAAAGTCTATCAGCATGAACAGATTACAGTAGAAGACCACATCACATGATTATCTCATTAAGTACAAAAAAAGTCATTAAAACCACCCCTTATTCCTAATCAAGTCTTTGCACAATGGCTAAAAGAGAACTTCCCTAACCTGATAAAGATTATACCTACAACAAATATCATACATCATGCCTTAACTTTAGAAGCATCCCCCAAAGTCAAAAACAAGACAGAAATTTCTGCTAGCATAACTTCTGGTTAACAATGTAATAACTGGAAATGCTAGCTGACAACAAGATAAGAAAAAGAAATAAGACATAAAAATTGGAAAGGAAGAAATAAAGTTGTCCTTATTGTCTATCTAGAAAATACAAGACAATCTGTAGACAAACTATTAGAATAAATGAATAACGTTTGGCAACATTTCTGGATATAGATGATTAACATACAAAGCCCAAGAACTTTTCTGTTGTTAGGTACACTCAAGTCGATTTCGACTCATAGAGACCACGTGTGACAGAGAACTGCCCCCATAGGGTTTTCTATGCTACAGTCTTTCTGGGAGCCAGGGCTTCAAACTGGTTCGAACCAGTTCACTCATGGCTGATGAAGCAAAACCAGATGGACACAAATTTTTACAGTTTGAGTGATCCAGAGCAGTCACCACAATTCAAAGGCAAAGAATACTGAACATACCATGGACTGCCAAAAGAACGAACAAATCTGTCTTGGAAGAAGCAAAGATGGCAAGACTATGTGTAACATACTTTGGACATGTTACCAGGAGGGATCAGTCCCTGGAGAAGGACATCATGCTTGGTAAAGTAGAGGTCAACGAAAAAAGAGGAATACCCTCAACAAGATGGATTGACACAGTGGCTGCAACAATGGGTTCAAACATACCAATGATTGTGAGGATGGCGCAGGACTGGGCAGGGTTTCATTCTGCTGTACATAGGGTCGCTATGAGTCAGAAGCAACTCGACAGCATCTAACAACAAGAGTAGTCACCAGAACAGGAAAAATTAAAGCCCTATAATGGGACTTGGAAGAGGGGTAGTGAGCCCTTTCAGGAGCCTGATCAGCGAGATTGGATTATTTCCAGAACTGCGGAGAGTGACACACATTCAAAATGGCTGAGGTTGGCTGCCATCTTTGAGCGGGGCAGTGCTGTTTCCAACTCTGCAGAAAATCCAGCAGGCAAGAGATTTGGTTGCTATGCAACACATACACTGCCCTTGTTTTCTAAGAGGGAGACTGTTTCCAGCAGGGTTTTAACCCATACATTTGTCCCATTCCAGTTACCATTCTGGTTCACTTAGCTTTTAAAAACTTGGGTCTGTTCAGTGTCACTTCCTCAGTCATGACTGAACCAGTAAGAGCCAGTTCGAAGCCCTGCGGGGAGCAGATCACCAGTTCTTTCTCCATGGAGCTGCTGGGTGGGTTCGAACTGCAGCCTTTCAGTTAGCAGCCGAGCATTTAACTGTTGTACCACCAAGCCTCCTTTAGAGTTTTGCTATCTTTTTTGCTGTTTACGTTTCATAATTAGTTATTAAAGGTATTTCGAAAATATAACAAATTATGAAAAGTAATGGCAAAAAAAGATATGCATATCCTTTATGGATAAATGGAGAGAGAAGGCAGGTTTATAAATGGGAAGACTCAATATCACAAAGATGATAATTTCTCTCAAACTCAATTCTGATCAAAATCTCAACAGGGGTTTTCATGGAACCCAAAAAGCTGATCTTAAAATTAATCTAGAAGACCACAGGATGAAGAACTCAGAACATTTTGAAAAAGAACAAGAAAGAGGCTCTTGCCGTACTGGGTATTGAAAACTAAACAATAATTTATTCAGTGTAGTATTGACATAATGAGCCTTGGTGGCACAGAGGTTAAGTGCTCGGCTGCTAACCGAAAGGTCAGCAGTTTAAACCCACCAGCTGCTCCGTGGGAGAAAGATGTGGCAGTCTGCTTCAGTAAAGATTACAGCCTTGGAAACCCTATGGGGCAGTTCTACTCTACCTATCCTGTAGGATCACTGAGTCAGAATCGACTCGATGGCAATGGGTTTGGTTTGGTTTTGGTTAGTATTGACACAGATATAATAGGCAAAAGGTAAAGAAAAGAGCCCAGAAGAA